ACCCTTGCACGGTGCCCAGGCAGCTGGGTGAATCAGATGTGAGCAGGGAGGATGAGTAGCACAGCGGGGGGGATTACTGGAACCAATCCCCTGTATAGCTCTCTGCAGCCGTTGTAAGCTGGCTTCTTCTCCTCTCACCTCCCCCAACCCCCCCCCCCTCCCCTTGCTTTCAGCTGTTACAGAGAGAGAGACATACAGGGGGTCAGTTCAGTAATGCCCCCCCCCCCCAGTGCACCCATCGCCCTCCCTGTGCACCATACATTTCCCAGGCCCCCCTGTGTGCCCCCGCCCCTGCAATGTTGCCGGTTTCCCTCCTCTCCTTCCTATCAGCAGTTACAAGCACATAATAGGATCCTTCGGTATGGAGAGTGGGGGAAGGGTCTGGTAAATATCACATTTACCAGCCCCTTCCTTTCCTGAATGAACACAATGGGTGATCAGTACCAATCACTCACTGTGTTAATTCAAAACTGAAGCATAGTAAACTGTTTATTTTTTTTGTGGGGATGGGGAGGGGGGGGGGGGGGGGCTGATAGGTTAGCTGTATAGGGGTCCTGTGGTTTGGGGTTCGTCAGGTTGACTGTAAGGGGCCCAAGAGGGCTTGTTTCTTATTTGTATGAGAAAACAATGGTGTCACCCACCAGGCAGTGTGACAGGACTGTGTGAATTACAAAAGTAGCCGGACTGAATTGCAACTCTGGCAGATAAGATCTTCACCTATATGGTGTGTATTTCAGACCTGATCACAGCAGCAGGCGTGTGTTTCGCTTCGGTATAGCAGATGCCTTCTGGTTTGCATTGGTAGAGGCAATGCGCTGTCACAATGCAGCGCACTTTTTTTTTTTTTTTTTTACTTTATTAAAATGTCACAAAATCACATTTTATTTAACTCTATGCACTGCAGCACATTGCGACAGCATGCAGTGACGTGTGTTGCTCTGCATCAACATGCAAACATGCTGCTTTTTTTGTACAATACTTCACATGTGTGGCCTGAACAGGACACATAGAACACAATTGTTTTCTATGTGGCCTTGCATTGGACCTTGTTGATCATCGATGGTCAGTGCACCTAGTGTGAATGAGCCCTTAGGCCGGCCATATACAGGTCTATTTTCAAACTATTTTCGTTCGAAAATCGGACCTAAGGATAATCGGCCGATTTTCACTCTGTTAATGGGGCAATGGCACCAGACGATTTTCGTGGTTCCTCCCCCCATTTTGGGCATGTTGGAAAATTTGTGAAAAACTACCGATCTTTTAAATCATTGGTGGCACCATCGGATTACAGAATGAACTACGTGCTCGATTTTCGATCGAAAAATCGTTCAGAATTTGACCCATGTAGGGGCTGTAACCTCCCTGTAATTAGGGCTGAGCTGTAAGTATGACGTGGATCAGTTTTGGATCCTTTTCTGAGTACTGCATAGTCCTCAACTCAGCACCCGCCTGTGTCAACCAGGGGCGGACTGACCATTTGGAAACTCTGGCACTGCCCGAGGGCCCGGGGTCAGTAGGGGGCCCCATGAGATGCCCCTGGTACCTTTTTCATAGGCTTTTTTGAGTTTGGGCAAGGACACAGGGGCCCCATGATCCCCTATTGCCTGGGGCCCCCATGAGTTGTCAGTCTGCCCCTGGTATCAACTATTCGCTCTATACTCGGAGGCATGAGCCTGGGGGAGCTTTTTCAGCTCCAGTTCTTGCCCGGCTCTCTGTACGCCTCGTAGTTCCTCACCCCCCCAGAGTCACGGGGAGAGCAAGAGGAAGCACTTTACCTTATAATAACCTTCTGATGCTCAGCATTCCCTGTGGGGCGTCTGCTTGGCAGAGAGAGGGGTTAAGGAAGCCTCGTTCTCGTCATCAATGACAAAGCCGTCTCTCGGCAACAGGTAACCGGGGCGACCGTTTCCTAAAAAAAGCACGGAAGAGTGGAGCCCCCTCCTCCCCTCCTCCCCTTGTTCTGCTTCTATTACTCCTTATTAGATTAGACTTTCTTTTGTTTTATGTATTTTTTTTTTTTCATAGAGATGGAGGCTAAAGGCAGCAGATAAAAGACCTAGTAGTCCGTCACCTCGCACTGTTGTACCGGCTCCCTTCCTGGACTGAGATTGCTTACTCCGATTTCACTGCACACTGTGAGCTTCTCACACTGTGCGTTGGAAACTGCAGCGAGTCAGATAAAAACCCAGTTCATTTCTTGGTTGGAGGACAGTCGGCACCATCTAGCTCTTTCCTCCCCAGCCTGACTGGCCCTGCCTGCCCCTTTCATTTATTGGATTTCAGTGCTTTCAGTCTTGGAGGCTCAGCATCACATGTGGGCATTGCCTAAGGTGGTGTGCATGTAAAAACAGCCTGCCATGTACACAGGACACTTCTGAACGATGGAAACTGACTGCTGGAAAACGTAGGATAAAAAAAGTCGGTTTAGCCGCGTGTGCATACCGCATTTATGTGCGTTTGCAAGCGTTTTTTAAAGATAACCTCAGGAGACCTTCCAAAATGCCCAGAATGCTCTGAAAAACAGTAAAAAGAAAATAACATATTCAGACATTTTGAGAGAAATAGAGAGAGCAGAAGCAGAGAGAGCAGTATGTGTTGAGATTAGCTGTCTTTTTTTTTTTTTTTTTGTGGTGTTTGGATGTGTTCCAGCTCATTTCTGTGCAGAAATTATTGCAGCAGTGTCTAACATATTTTCTTTCATGCGAAACCTCAAAGTATGGTGTACCGGGTCCATTTGAGTACCGGAAAAACGCTTTGCATGCTGAAAAAGGCTCTGGACAGCATCTGGAAAACTTTTTCCAAACGCTGATAAACGCAGTTAACCGCATTTACAAGCGTTTGGCGTTTGAAATGCTGATAAAATCTACTCCTGAACGCAGGTTTGGTGCATTTAAAAAAATGACTGTAAACTCAACTGCCTGTAAACGATGATGTGTACATGGACACATAGGAAAACATTAGGGAGGGTTCAGGGGCTGCTAAAAAAAAATGCAGAAAAGCTCCTGAACGTCAGTTTATCAGCTGCAGTGTACATGGAGCCTAAGAAAGTACACTCCCTCTTACATCAAGGCCTGTTAATATTTGCATAACTCCTCCTAAGAGCCATCCCCCTGCTGGGGGCTGTTAAAAGGATTACGTAGGCGGGGTACTGTGTTTTCAGGCAGCTTGGTACAGCTCCCTGGCAAGCCCCTCCTACCAGCCACAATCTGCCTGTATTACATAGAGAGGCATACAAAGAAAACAGGTCACCTACCCAGGTCTATAACTGGCTTTTTAAACAGTGAACATGGAAGGCGTCACAAAGTAAAAAATAGAACTATCCAGTTCAACTTGCCAACCTACCCCAGTCTAATAATGGCTATTATCAGCAAGGAACATGGATAAAGTATAACTTATCAAAAGAGGGGGATAAGAAAGACAGTTAGCCAACTAAAAAAAACAAATTAGCCTGTCTAAGAACGTGCGTTTATAACAGGGGTTTAGTTAGCACACATTTGCAAATACATACGTAAGCCACAGAGCCACATCACGGCACCCTGAGTATCTGTGGTCACATAGAGAGGCACAGAGATCTAGTGATGACATTACTGGAGCTAGAATAAGGTATGAAATGAAAATGGAGAGGTTTTTCTTTTTGAATTTTATGTTATGTTATTAGCATGCTGATGGAGGAACAAGAAAGGCAAATATAATTACCGTATTTTTCGCAACATAAGACGCACTTTTTTCCCCCCAAAAAAGGGGGAAATGTCAGTGCGTCTTATGGAGCGAATATGGAGCGGCCGGTCCGGTATTTCCACTGCCGCCGTGTCAGAATACCGGGCCGGCCGCTCAGCTCTACAGCGGGACCTTATAGAGATGACTGCTGACCTTTGGGGAGGGGGGGGGAGCGGGTACCTGAATTTGACAGATACCCGCTCCCACTTCTGTGGAGTTGTTCTTTCATCTTACCCGTTCCTCTATCCAGCGGCGAGGTCTTCCCGGCTTCTGTAGTGTGGGCATGACAGCCGGGTGCCAAGTGCGCATGCGCAGGAAGCGGTGCTTTTTGTGAATGGTAAGGCGGCACCTGGGACACAGAAGCCGCCGGACCAATCACAAAGCGCAAGTGCTTCTCGCTCATGCGCACTGGGCACCCGGCTGTCATGCCGAGCGCCATTACAGAAGCCGGGAAGACAGCGCGCGGCTGGATAGAGGAACAGGTAAGATGAAAGAACAACTCCGCGGAAGTGGGAGCGGGTATCTCTCTCAAATTCAGGTACCCGCTCCCCCCCCTCCCCAAAGGTCCGCAGTCATCCCCTGTACTATCCACAGTCTCTGGTCATCCCTGTGCTGTCCGCAGTCTCTGGTCATCCCTGTAGTCTCTGGTCATCCCTGTGCTGTCCGTAGTCTCTGGTCATCCCTGTACTGTGTCCGCAGTCTCTGATCATCTCCTGTCCTGTGTCTGCAGTCTCTGGTCATCTCCTGTCCTGTGTCCGCAGTCTCTCTGGTCATCTCCTGTACTGTGGCCGCAGTCTCTGGTCATCTCCTGTACTGTGTCCGCAGTCTCTGGTCATCTCCTGTACTATGTCTGCAGTCCATTAGTTCAGAATTTTTTTTTCCTGTTTTCTGCCTCTAAAACCTAGGTGCGTCTTATGGAGCGAAAAATACGGTAGGTTAAACTTCAGCACCTCCAGGCAACAAATGGCATCCATCACTGAACTGCTAATTTTATATTTAAATTTTTTTATTGAAATTACAAGATACAATAGTAGAAAATCTGACAATTAAACAATAGTAATTTCTCGGGTTGTCATCGTGAAATAGACACGAGTCATTCGAAAAGCCAAAAATGACAATGCAGACAAACTGAACTAATTTTATGCAGAAAACTTTGTTGTGCTAAACTCAGAAGCTTTTCATGCTCCACGTAAACAGCTCCATACACAGTTAGTGTTACCAAACACAGGACCCTGCATTCACTATATCTGTTCTCCCAGAATCCTGCATTCACTATATCTGCTCTCCCAGGATCCTGCATTCACTATATCCGCTCTCCTCAGGACCCTGCATTCACTATATCTGGTCTCCCCGGACCCTGCATTCACTATATCTGGTCTCCCCGGACCCTGCATTCACTATAGCTGGTCTCCCGGACCCTGCCTTCACTATATCTGTTCTCCCAGGACCCTGCATTCACTATATCTGGTCTCCAGGATCCTGCATTCACTATATCTGTTCTCCCCGGACCCTGCATTCACTATATCTGCTCTCCCAGGACCCTGCATTCACTATATCTGTTCTCCCGGACCCTGCATTCACTATATCCGCTCTCCCCGGACCCTGCATTCACTATATCCGGTCTCCCCGGACCCTGCATTCACTATATCTGCTCTCCCCGGACCCTGCATTCACTATATCTGTTCTCCCAGGACCCTGCATTCACTATATCTGGTCTCCCAGGATCTCTGCATTCACTATATCTGTTCTCCCCGGACCCTGCATTCACTATATCTGCTCTCCCAGGACCCTGCATTCACTATATCTGTTATCCCTGACCCTGCATACACTCTCCCCGGACCCTGCATTCACTATATCCGGTCTCCCCGGACCCTGCATTCACTATATCTGGTCTCCCTGGACCCCGCATTACTATATCTGGTCTCCCAGGACCCTGCATTCTTCTGGTCTCCCGGACCCCGCATTCACTATATCTGTCTCCCAGGACCCTGCATTCACAATAGGTCTCCCCGGACCCTGCATTCACTAATCTGCTCCCCGGACACTGCATTCATTATATCTGGTCTCCCAGGACCCTGCATTCACTATATCTGGTCTCCCCGGACCCTGCATTCACTCCTCTCCCACAGTACACACAACATGTCCTGCTATGAGGCTTGTAGGAGGATTTTATCATTCTCCTCTCACTGTCCTATGAGGCTGCAGCCATTCACAATATCTGGGCTCCCCGGAAACCTCCCCCGGATGTCATCCTGGTCTCCCAACCCTGCATTCAGTCTACCTCACTAATATCCGGTCTCCCACAGTACACACAACATGGAACTACAATTATTTTAGTGAGTCTTGTGACTTCTATCAGTTTCCGCAGCTGAGCACTGATTAAAGCTTGTAGGAGGATTTTATCCCTCTGTCTGTCTGGACAGCGCTAATTGGCCCTGTGCTGATCACATGCACTCTCCCAAGAAAAAAAAATTCTCTAGCAATACACACCAAGCTGAGCATATGCAGCTTGCCCCAAGGCTCTCTTCTATCAGCAGATGGATTGTGGAAATTAGAAGAAGGGGAGGATCAGAGAAGACAGGATCAAATAGACTTTTTACACGATGCAGAGTATTAACCCCTTAGGTTCCACAGTGAGTATAACAAGCATGCTTTACTGCATTTACAGACTGATTGTACTGTTGTGGGTTTAGTAACACTTTAACACTCCTTTTTCTTTTGTGAATGAGTAGGGCTGTTGGTAAAGGGGCTTCCAGATTTCAATAAGCCCCCTGCCTGCAGACCCCCACAACTACCGGGACGGGGTTGTGAGGAAGAGGCCCTTTTCTTCATCAACATGGGGACATGGTGGTTTCCTTATAAGGTTCACATGGTTCACATCTGTGCGGGTGGTGCCTCTGCGGATCTACACGAAAATCTGTACAGCCGCACCACCCACACAGAGAAATGCGGAACCGTGGGCGGGTTTGGCACGCCGATCCGCAGTGGAAACCGCAACTGCTGGGAAGTGAGGTTCCCGTGAGGGCTGCGTTTTCAGGAGAAGTGCAGGGACTTCTTCCCTGCGTGTCCAGTGGCACGGGTGTCCATTCAAATGAATGGGCTCTCGTGCCCGCGCGAATCGCGGCCCGCATGGCCGCAGTTTTGTGAACCGGGGGGTCAAGCAGAAATAGTCTTCGGAGCCACCTTCGGTCTCTTTCTCCCAGAAGTCTTACATACGGTACATGGGAGCTGTTTTGCCTGTCAAAAGATTATCTGTTGAAAAACAAATCTCAGATCACCCGATCGAATGTGACACCGGAGCCGCTCCCAACAAGCCAGGAATGGATGAATTAAAAAAGAAACCCGAATAAATTGTGTTTGCAGTGCCTTTATTCCTGGCATGCGATTTTCATTTGGTTGATAAAGAAGACAGATAAACAAGGAAAAGAAAAAAATAACCGGGAGCATGTGTCAGAGAGGAAATGAAGAGAGAAATAAATTGATTTTGGACATTTTCCTTGCTGCCGACATATGACAGTATAGACAAATGGCGAGCGGGAACGCCGCGTCTGGTCACACACGGCATAATTAGAACTAGCGCGCCCCCCTGTAAACCTTACAGAGGGCATTCTGTGCCAACCTGGTGCTTTCTGAAGAACAAGGGCTCAGCGGAGGATTAATCTTACTGACCTAGATAGCGGACGGTGAGGTGCCTGCAGATAATTCTGATTCACAAACCTCTGGATGGATATTACACAGACAAATCCTCAGGCTTCCAGGACAGAAAAAAAAAAAAAAAGGCTCCCGTTTTTGAGATGTGGCTCTCCGAAAATGGCCCTGGGAGCCTAATGACCTGTCTGATGTCCTGTTCCTGAATCCTGGTAATCGAGGTCTGTTCCTGATCAGGTCACAATATTTCTCTCTATAGGCGCTCGGTGGTTTCACAAAGAGATGTCAACCTGGGAGGACGGTTCAGAACTTCTTCATACCAGTGGGCGCGTTAAGGTCTGCGTTACACATGAACGCGTGCTGTGATGTGTTATCACAATCCAACACAGTGCTTGCTTTTTCAAACTTTATTCAACCTTTCACTTTATTTAACCACTTCCTGTCCGGACACTTTTACCCCCTTCCTGTCCAGGGCAATTTTCAGCTTTCAGCGCTATCACACTTTGAATGACAATTGCGCGATCATGCAATACTGTACCCATATGACTTTTTACCATTTTTTTGAGACAGATAAAGCTTTATTTTGGTGGTATTTATTCACCGCTGGGATTTTTAAAAAATTTTTTACTATGTAAATGAAAGTCCAAAAAGTTTGAAAAAAAGTTTTTTTTTTTATAAAATTTTGCAAATAAATAATATTTCATCATAAATATTGGCCAAAATTGATTCCGTTATTTTTTTAGTAAAAAAAAAATCCAAATTAGTTTATAACCAAAAATTATAATTTTAAAACATTTTTTTTTTACATTTTTATTTTTTTTTTTTATATTTTTTATTTTTATTTTTTTTTTGTACATACTGTCACCCTATCAGTACAGTGTCACCATGGTGACACTGTACTACTTGTGGGGGGTGATTTTTTTTTTTACACTGATTGCTTTTACACCCATATAGGATGTAAAAGCAATCCTTTCTCTCTGTCTGCATTCTTGCAGTCATCGAGAAGTACTGATTGAGCTGTGATTGGTCACAGCTTGTCACATGGTACAAGGCTGTTGTGAATAGCCTTGTACCATGTGACCTCTGTGATCATTCACAGATTTCACACGTAGTAAGCAATGATGTCACAAGTGACATCTTGCTTACTACTTTGCATGTGATCACTGATTGGCCAATCAGTGATCACATGATCGGGACCTCGTACAGAGGTTCCGTCCGACGATCAGCACACAGCCAGGATAACCAAGGAGTGGCTCCGTAAGAAGCATATCAAGGTTCTGGAGTGGCCTAGCCAGTCTCCAGACCTAAATCCAATAGAACATCTTTGGAGGGAGCTGAAACTCCGTGTTGCTCAGCGACAGCCCCGAAACCTGACAGATCTAGAGGAGATCTGTGTGGAGGACTGGGCCAAAATCCCTGTTGTACTGTGTGCAAACCTGGTCAGGAACTACAGGAAACGTCTGACCTCTGTAATTGCAAACAAAGGCTTCTGTACCAAATATTAACACTGATTTTCTCAGGTGTTCAAATACTTATGTTCAGCAGTGCAAGACAAATAAATTCTTTAAAAATCATACAATGTGATTTCCTGAATTTTTTTTTAAATTCTGTCTCTCAGAGTGGGAATGCACCTACAATGTGAATTTCAGACCCCTCCATGATTTCTAAGTGGGAGAACTTGCAAAATCGCAGGGTGTTCAAATACTTCTTCTGTTCCTCACTGTACCTCGGTTTACGAATGCCTTGGTTAACGTCATTTTTTTCGGTTTACGAATGAAAATCCATTGAAAATAGTGGCTCGGTTTACGAAATTTTTTTCGCAATACGAACTGATTAATTGGTTTTCAATGCATTTACAAATTTTTTTTTAATCATGTCCCTGTACAGTACTATGCCTTTAAAGTGCACTTTATTTTTTTAATATTATATCTTTTATTAGATTTTCTTTTTTTTTAAATTCTCTAATTTAAAGTGCACTTTATAAAGAGTTTTGAACAGATAAAACTTTTTTTCTGACCTCCGGAATGGATTATTTGGTTTTCAATGCATTTACGAATTAATTTTTAATCATGTCCCTGTACAGTATTTTTGCCTTTAAAGTGCACTTTATAAAGAGATTTGAACAGATAAAATACTTTTTATTTTTTCTGACCTCCAGAATTGATTCATTGGTTTTCAATGCATTCCTATGGGAAACCGCGTTTCGGTTTACAAATTTTTTGCAATACGAAAAGTACCAAAAGTGACAGCAAAAAAAATTGATAAAGTTATTTTAAAGCAGCAGTGTAAATAAAAAAAAAAAAAAATCAAAGTGCCCCTGTCCCCCTGTGCTTGCATGCAAAGGCAAACGTCGGTTCAGCACGCACATAAACAGCGATCTTCTCACTGGTGTGAGGAATCACTGCGAACATCAGATCATGGGCAGTAATTCTAGCACCAGACCTCCTTTGTAAATCTAAAGTGGTAGACTTTAAAGTGTCACCTATAGATAGTAGAATTGACGTAATTTATCGACATTGCAGGGGCGTGCGTAATTTTAAAGCGTGACATGTTTGGTATCTATTTACTCTGCGTAACATCATCTTTTATATTTTACCATAAAATTAGGCTATGTAATGTATATATTTTTTTTTTACATTAAAATTCAAAAGGTGCGTTTTTCCCGAAGAATTGTGTTTGAAAAACCGCTGCACAAATACCATGAGACATAAAAAAAATTGCAAAACCCAACAATTTATCCTCTGGGGCCTCTACTTTAACAAACATATAATGTTTGGGAGTTCTAAGAAATTTTCTAGCAAAAAATACTGATTGTTACATGTAAACAATAATTGTCAGAAAAGGCCATGTTAAGCACAATAAATATTACCCAGTAAATTTTTGTCAAAATTCTTACTTCAGCACTTGCAGTTTGCAACTTTCATTGCTGCTGGCTTTTGCTGTGTCCGTGCTGCTTCCCTGAACATCTGGCCTTTACAGGAAGTGGTAAAAATATAACTAAAAAAAAACTTTTTAGTTTTAGGATTGAGTGGGGAGGTATCAGATCACCTGTCTGGTTTTTATTGCTGTCTGAGTCCCTGTTTGTGAGATTCACTGTCTCTATAGGCTAGTTTACTATTATCAATGAAAGTGAAAGTAAAAGAAAATCCCAACAAATAGAGGGGAAACCTTCCAATGGGGACACTAGTCCTGGTGACAACCAGGGATTTCCTCACTTTAGAGGGATTTCCTCTCACTTCCCATTTTAGCTATGGGACAGGAAGTGAAGAAAAATATCCCCAATGCGACATAGTTGGCAAAAATAAACCCTACAGGGGTTATAACCTTTCTTTACACTA